AGGAATCTACAGCCCTGTTCTCAGTGGAGTGTTTACCAAGACACAAATACCAGGATCCATCATATCGACTTGAGAATGGTCCAGGACGGACCGAAACGTCGTCGTCCCTTCACTTTCTAGTGTGTGGTCTGGTCAACATACATCATACGTTTTCAGCAAAGACCAGAATATGTCATTGGTTTTCAGCAAAGACCAGAGTATATAATTGGTTTCAGCAGAGACCAGAGTATATAATTGGTTTCAGCAGAGACCAGAATATATCATTGGTTTCAGCAAAGACCAGAATATATCATTGATTTTCTTTGTTGATGAATAGTTTTCTATTAAAAAAAAAATCTGAATTTCTGAACATGCCGGGGCTGGTTGATATTAAAGACGCCCTCAGCTGTTACATCAATAGATAAGACAACTATGGAACAGTGAACTTCATGAACACAACGTCAGAAGTCGAAAACACAAATATATTGTCCATCGGATTTGATGCTGCCAGTGGACTTTTTACTGACCACTGGACTTGGTGATTTCCAGTAATTCCGATTCATGGACTTTGGACGTAACTGTGTATCTTTCTCTTCGACAGCTTCAGTGACAGCCTGACTTGCACGGCCATTCTGAAATTAATTGTATGTTCATTATGGTTTTTATGTAACATGTTTGCCTGTTTGTTTTCAGTGTTCCGGTGAGTTGTATTTGAGGGTTATATATATGCCCGGATACTGACATGCCCAGGTCCTGACATGCCCAGGTCCTGACATGCCCAGGTCCTGACATGCCCAGGTCCTGACATGCCCAGGTCCTGACATGCCCAGGTCCTGACATTGCCCATTTTGTTAATTAAGTTCAAAGACGAAATTGGAAATTGTCATTAGAATTTTGTTTTAAATGTTTGATATTCTTTTCGTGTTATTTGATAATGGAGCTGTTTGGAAGGGCGGTCTGGAGCATTATTGGAGCATTCTAAACCTTCACTGTCACAGCTTCCAGGAAGGAAAGTCTGGAGCATTATTGGAGCATTCTAAACCTTCACTGTCACAGCTTCCAGGAAGGAAAGTCTGGAGCATTATTGGAGCATTCTAAACCTTCACTGTCACAGCTTCCAGGAAGGAAAGTCTGGAGCATTTGCGGAGGATTTTAAACCTTCACTATCACAGTATCCAGGAAGGAAAGTCTGGAACATTACTGGAGCATTCTAAACCTTCACTGTCACAGCTTCCAGGAAGGAAAGTCTGGAGCATTTGCGGAGGATTTTAAACCTTCACTATCACAGTATCCAGGAAGGAAAGTCTGACATTACTGGAGCATTCTAAACCTTCACTGTCACAGCTTCCAGGAAGGAAAGTCTGGAGCATTTGCGGAGGATTTTAAACCTTCACTATCACAGTATCCAGGAAGGAAAGTCTGGAACATTACTGGAGCATTCTAAACCTTCACTGTCACAGCTTCCAGGAAGGAAAGTCTGGAGCATTTGCGGAGGATTTTAAACCTTCACTATCACAGTATCCAGGAAGGAAAGTCTGGAACATTACTGGAGCATTCTAAACCTTCACTGTCACAGCTTCCAGGAAGGAAAGTCTGGAGCATTTGCGGAGGATTTTAAACCTTCACTATCACAGTATCCAGGAAGGAAAGTCTGGAACATTACTGGAGCATTCTAAACCTTCACTGTCACAGCTTCCAGGAAGGAAAGTCTGGAGCATTTGCGGAGGATTTTAAACCTTCACTATCACAGTATCCAGGAAGGAAAGTCTGGAACATTACTGGAGCATTCTAAACCTTCACTGTCACAGCTTCCAGGAAGGAAAGTCTGGAGCATTTACGGAGGATTTTAAACCTTCACTATCACAGTATCCAGGAAGGAAAGTCTGGAACATTACTGTAGCATTCTAAACCTTCACTGTCACAGTATCCAGGAAGGAAAGTCTGGAGCATTTGCGGAGGATTTTAAACCTTCAATACCAGAGCCTCCAAGGAGGACACACACAGGAGCATAGTCTAAGTGGAGCATTCTTAACCCAAATTTTAAGTAAAAGTTGAGACGCCAAGTTAAGGCTTCGAGCTTCATTTGAATTCATGCCCCAGATTTGAGCTTGACCCGGGTCAAGTAGGAGCTTGACCGGGGTCAAGTAGGAGCGAGGAGTGGCATGGCTGAGATGTCCCAAATGACCAGATGGAAGTTATCTTCCTGGGGTATCAGTCTGAACTCTCAGACGGACGCAGCTAGTTTCTTAAGGAGGTCCTCCTTGAACCTACTCAACCCCGCACAAACACACACAACGTTGTCGAGGAGAGTTAAGCGATGTCAGCGCTTCTTATCGATAAAAATATCGAATGATTTTATATAATTTAATTCGATACGTTTTTTTCCGGTCGTTGCCACTTGGGATGGACGGTAGAGCGACGGTCTCGCTTCATGCAGGTCAGCGTTCAATCCCCGACCATCCAAGTGGTTGGGCACCATTCCTTCCCCCCGTCCCTTCCCAAATCCTTATCCAGAACCCTTCCCAGTGCTATATAGACGTAATGGCTTGGTGCTTTCGCTTCATAGTTCCTTTCCTTTCCCTTCCGGCCGTTGCACAATTTGTATAATTCTGTTTGCCCGGAAAACAGGAATATAACAGAGGGTTCTGCAGCATAGTAGTCTACGTCCTCGGCTCACAACCGAGGGACCAGAGTTAGATTCCAGGCAGAACAAACACGGTTCGGCTCGTTTCCTTTTATATGATCATCGCACCCCATCCCATGAGCGGTAGTTTACTGTGCATCCCATGAGCGGTAGTTTACTGTGCATCCCATCCCATGAGCGGTAGTTTACTGTGCATCCCATCCCATGAGCGGTAGTTTACTGTGCATCCCATCCCATGAGCGGTAGTTTACTGTGCATCCCATCCCATGAGCGGTAGTTTACTGTGCATCCCATCCCATGAGCGGTAGTTTACTGTGCATCCCATCCCATGAGCGGTAGTTTACTGTGCATCCCATCCCATGAGCGGTAGTTTACTGTGCATCCCATCCCATGAGCGGTAGTTTACTGTGCATCCCATCCCATGAGCGGTAGTTTACTGTGCATCCCATCCCATGAGCGGTAGTTTACTGTGCATCCCATCCCATGAGCGGTAGTTTACTGTGCATCCCATCCCATGAGCGGTAGTTTACTGTGCATCCCAGACTCATCCTGTGGGCGATAGAGGACACAAAGAGGAAGGTCTTAATCAGACCTCAGCGGGTAGTTTTATCCCCATTTACAGTTTCATCTAATCTGTGCAATACTCTACTGACAGCTAATGACACACTTTTCTCGTCGCAAAAAAGTGTGGATATGCAATACCTGTACATTATTTAACTGTGGCGTGTGTGTGTGTGTGTGTGTGTGTGTGTGTGTGTGTGTGTGTGTGTGTGTGTGTGTGTGTGTGTGTGTGTGTGTGTGTGTGTGAGGCTGGAGACAGAAATATGAATTGGTAAGTTAACTTGAGACAAGATCCGCTATAGTCAAAACTGCCCTTCACGTGCACACTTGGTTGTGTTTACCTAAATGTGTACGCAGGGTCGAGCTCTTGCTCCTAAGCCTCTGTTTTCAACCACCGATACTAATTTAGTTTTTGCTGATCATATTTGCATGTAGAGGGTCTTGTAGCGCAGTCGTTCACAACCGAAACGTTCCTGGTTCGATTTCCACGACAGGACAGGGACGTTCGGGCATGTTTTGTTTCACCTCGTGCACCTGTTCACCCTGCAATCAATACGAACCCGAGTGTCAGGCAGCTGTTGTGAGTGGCATCATGACAACATTTAGTCACTGGACTATGCGAGGGACTTCGATAAGCCCTACAGGATTCCCCCTCCAGGGAATGGGAAACTAAAACAGGGCTGCCAACATGTATACTTATAGTGGGCACTATGCCCAGGGTGGGTACTGTGCCCAGAGTGGGTACTGTGCCCAGAGTGGGTACTGTACCCCATAGTGTATACTATACCGAGAGTGGGTAAAGTACTGGTCTATCACAACCGCATCCCAAGGTTCGAGCCCATAAAAGCGGTCATGGAGTAGAGAATTGTTAAATATACCTTTGGAACCATTTTAGCTTAAAAAAACATACTTTGATACTCTGCATTACCCCAGCTTGTTCAGAGGACCCACGGAAAATCCCTTCTTCCCACCTGTGCTGGAGTTGAAAGGTGCGTGTAGGCCTGAGACTGATTGATGAAGATCAAGCCACCACAAGAGGAGGGCACGGGCATGAGTAACCCGCAGGTGGTATAGATGTTTTGGGTGAATGTGGTCTGTGGTCGTGTAACATCTTGAAATGTCTCTCTGGGTCTTGGTGTGTAGACCTCAGAGTGTTCCGTAACCTCCATTCCATCTCTGGCGGACTGGGTTCAGTCCAGGGCTTCCTCCTCACTGACGCGGGTTCGAGTCCACGAGGGGGAGATGGCATGGAGTTGTTAATTGCATGAATGTGAGGGGAAATTATGAAGAGAAAACCCTAAGCCACTATGAGGAAAAGGAATTAGGATATGAGCAAGGGGTAAAGGAACTTGGACAATCGGGGGATCGAACGCAGACTTGCAAGATGCGAGGTCATTGCGGTACCGACTAGTCCAAGTAGATAGACCATGCAGTGTAAGGTACTTCCGTGAGCAGATCTGTGAGATCCTGTCGTACGATCTAGAAAGGTAATTATTATCTTCATTTAAAGAGTCTCTTCGCTGAGAGGTTTTTGTTTAGAAAATATCGCTCATTATCACCACTTATCGTCCGTGACACCTTGCCAGATGTTTAAGTTCACGGCGCAAAATAACTCAACTAACTTATAACATCGACGAATATTCCCTGGGAGAGAATGAGAGGATACCATTGACCAACAACTGAACTGCGAGTAACAATCAAATTGTCATCACCAATTCGAATAATCAACAAAATTCTCCGAAATTGGCAATGAAACAATACTGTTAACTCGGCTCCCAAATATGGCAACCGGCCACTATAGTGTTGTATATAATAGGGGAGAGGCAAGACCTTCTCACAAACACGACAACACGACTTCTCAATAACCAACTGTCTTCCAAGACGCTCTCAGGAGCATGTTTTCCCAGCGTTACTACCGCTTCTTGCTCTCAACGGCGGCCGCTCTCAAGTGCGTTGCTCGTCAACAGGTAATGGCTGGCTCTTCACTCTTTGACAGCGTTAGTGGAGTCGTTGTTTTGGCAACGGCTGAAACAACTTTAACATTCATTTACGTGAATGATATTTATGATACATTTTTTGTTTCTTTTGTTCTGAAAAGCAATGTTTAACGTAGCAATGTTTATGCCAATCAATGTTTAACGTAGCAATGTTTATGCCAAGCAATGTTTAACGTAGATCGGCAGGTTTGTATTTATTATCAGTAAATCTGTACCAATACTATTGCAAACTTACGTTAATGCAATAAGTGACGAGTTATTACAGATGTTTCTACCTCTCACTTTGTTGATTGTTAGATGATTTAACCAAGAAAATAAACATCCACATATATATCATCCTTTCATCACTAGGTTATGTTTACAGGTCCGAGGGAAGAGTGGCGGATGTTCCTCTTGCAGCGTCCAGCGAGGGTTGAGCCTCGCTGCCGACGCCCGCCAGCAATTGGCACTCAAGTGCCAAACACACTCACGTAGGTTCCCACTTTTTTCCATAGATGCTGTGTATCGCAACTTGCTTCATATTAACATGACTGTCGGCATTTCCTGATTACGAAATACGGTTTTGGTAATGAGGCTGTTGACTTAAGGGACGAATAATTTGGTTGGATAGTTGCATTGTTTGAAGCAAATGTAAGACGTACGAATGAATGAGTTTGGTTTGGTACCAATAGGAACCGTTTCGTATGGTTCAATAGGCCTCCTGCAGTTTCCTATTGGCTTATATAAAGGAGTTACTTGGCTGACATGTTAATGAAGTTAGTGGTGTGCTACAGGGAGCAGTGTGGTGTCGTGGGTCCTGGAGAGGGAGTGTCTGAAGGTGAGGTTCGGCGACGGGAGCGCCAGCCAGATGCCCTACGTGTGGCTGAGGGACAACTGCCAGTGTCCCGAGTGCTACAACGCCGTCGCCCTCGGCAGGAACTTCCTTCTGGACGACCTCGACATCGAAGTCCATCCCATCGAAGTTCAGGTAACTCATAATTGAACCTTTTCTTTAACCGTTTCATGTGGTGCTACATAGCCTTCCCGGTTTAGTGCCTTCTTTTGATAATTACTTACTGTTTTCATACATAGTTTGATCGTAAATTGGATATGTATACATACTGGAATGTGATTAAGAAGTCAAAACGTGCACGAACTAATGTTATTAGATGTGTATGTGTGAGATGTTGATGCTTGTTCACAGGATAGTGATGGAGGAGTGAAGATCAACTGGAGCGATGGTCACAGGAGTGAGTACACAGGAGAGTGGCTACAGGACCGAGCCTTCACCCCCGCCGCCAGGGCCCGGCAGCGCACCAGATATGCCTTTAAGAGGGTCAGTTAGGAATCTGGTTTCTTAACGTTATTTTTTTTCTCTCATTGTTATTATTAAATATTGTTTTAAAAATTAAATTTTTTCCAACGGCAAAACTCTCTTCACATAGATATTTTGTCATTAGTTTATATATTATGTTTATCATTATTGTGAAGATTATTTGTATAAATTTGTTCAATAAAACATTTTTCAGTAATTTTCACATATAACATTTAGGATTAATGTCTCCAGTAGGAACATAAACAAACTTTATAACCTGTCATACAAGGATACCAACGCAGATATTGCTCATATCTTCAGGAGCCGTGGGGCGCCGACCACCAGCTGGTGGAGTTCGACTACCACACTCTGCTGCGGGACGACCAGACGCTGCTGGCCTGGCTGCTGACGATGGAGCAGAAGGGATCAGCCATGGTCAGGAACACCCCAGACAGCGACGTGGCTGGTCCTCGACTCATCGAGCACATCGCCTTCGTGAAGCAGTCTCACTACGGGTGAGAAAGGGAAAGGGAATTTTCAGGGGAAGCGCCAAGCCATTAAGACTATATAGCACTTGGAAGGGGTCAGGATAAGGATTTAAGATGGGACTGTGGGAAGGAATGGTGGCCAACCACTTGTGGACGGTCGGAGATTGAACGCAGACCTGCATGGAGCGAGACCGTCGCTTTACCGTCTAGCCCAAGTGGTTGGAACACTACGTGTAGGTTATCTTGAGATGGTTGATTTCTTGAGATGGTTGATTTCTTGAGATGATTTCGGGGCTTAGCGTCCTCGTGGCCCGGTCCTTGACCAGGCCTCCTTTTTGTTACATACCCCCAGGAAGCAGCCCGTAGCAGCTGTCTAACTCCTAGGTACCTATTTACTGCTAGGTGAGCAGGAGCATCAGGGTGAAAGAAACTCTGCCCATTTGTTTCCGCCTCCACCGGGGATCGAACCCGGAACCTCAGGACTACGAATCCGAAGCGTTGTCCTCTCAGCTGTCAGGCCCCCCTAGAGAGACATCAGTCAGCGTCATAACGGGAACCACTTACAAAAAATTACTTTAATTGCATCTTTTCTTTGAATATTTGTTCCTAATTTATTGAGCCCACATTACGAATATTCTTTCTGTGAACTACTTTATTGCAGGGGAACATTGTTTAGAATATACAAACTGTCACTGGAGACATCTCCCGTCACGCAGGGTGCAGGCGCACCCCCACAGATCTCCAGTATCATCTATTGATACTGGTTATGGCTCAAAAGGGCCACCACTTACGGGCTATTTATGCCCGTGCCACCTTTTGGGTGGCTTAATCTTCTTCAATCTTCTTCATTACAAACTGGAATAAGTATCCGGATATCTTAAAAACTCGATTATATTTCTATTGTTTCAGGCCACACTCGCCAGTGATCAATCGGGCCAACAGCAACAACGTGGCTTTCACCAACAGCAAGCTGGGCCTGCACAACGACCTCGCCCAGTACGAGCACATGCCCGGGGTACGGAGAGCTTCACACACATTAATGTTTCAACCCGTTCTCGCACTTTCTTTCTGTCAATATTGACTTATTTAATACGTGCATATGTGACATACTAAACATACTAGTTTACCTTGAAAAGCTTCATAGAAAACACCGACCTTACCTAACCTTCTTAGTATGTTAAGATAAGCATCTTATTGCTTCGTAATTACAATTTTTACTTAACCTATACCTATAATAGGCTAAGTAATAATTGTAATTACCTATACTTACCATTCCTATACCTATAATAGGTTCAGCAATAATTGTAATTACGAAGTAATAAGATGCTTATCTTAACATACTAAGAAGGTTAGGTAAGGTCGGTGTTTTCTATGAAGCTTTTCAAGGTAAACTAGTATGTTTAGTATGTCACATATGCACGTATTAAATAAGTCAATATTGACTAAGAAAGTGCGAGAACGGGTTGAATGTTTACCCTTACCATTCATATGCCAACGAAACAGTCTTTGTATAATCACGCTTCACGAAGGTACTCAGCCTCAACTCTTGTAATATGTGTTTGGGTTTTGCAGATTATCTTCATCCAGTGCGTGAAGCAGGAGCCGGGGGCAGGAGGGGCGAGTGTCGTCAGTGACGGACTCTTCGCTGCCGAGTGCTTGAGGCGGAGGCATCCCGAGGCCTTCCAGGTCCTGGCCACCACCGACGCCTACTTCTGGGACAAGGGCCACGCCAACTTCTCTTGGGAGATGGACCGCTTCTTCAAGATCTCCAAGAGGCCAATAATCACGTGAGTCCGTCTCCGTTCCCCTGCAGGTGAAGGATCTTTGCAGACAGGCAATATCTAGGAATTAAGTGTAGGAATGTTCATTACCAGGAGGAGCTAAGTCGGTGTATCATTAACCTGAGGGCCACTATGTTTAGGGACAGGAAGCCGGCGTCATATAGGTCCTCCCCCCAATTTTTTTCTAGTTGAATTTTAAACTGAATATCGCTATTCAAGTCCTCATGAAACGTAAAGTGCTTGGAAGTTGCTCCAGACGGTGAAGCCAGACCTACAAAGACGTAAGCTTTAGGTTCATGAGGGAGACCAGGAGTCACTCACGCCCGTTGTCTCCTCCGTCAGCGTGAACAACGACCAGGAGGTCGTCTGCGTCGCCATGAACAACGGCGTCCGGGCCTCCCACCTCGACCTCTCCGCTCACCTCGTCAAGAAGTTCTACGCCGCCATGAAGCTCTTCAACGACATCCTGTACGACAATGCCATCACCTTTAAGATGGAGGAAGGTGAGTTGCGTTGAGCCAAACCACTTTGTTATATCCCTTCATGTGACACAGTTACCACATGAAGAAACGTAGACCATTCAACTTGATCAATCTGACTTTCTATCCGGTATTAAAAAGTCAAATCACCTCTACCAATAATTTATATAGTTTTTAAGCTGGTATTTTACCATAGACAACTTCCTGCTAGGTAACTTCCTGTTACCTAGCAGTAAATAGGTACCTGGGAGTTAGTCAGCTGTCACGGGCTGCTTCCTGGGGGTGGAGGCCTGGTCAAGGACCGGGCCGCGGGGACACTAAAAAAGCCCCGAAACCAACTCAAGATAACCTCAAGATAGATGTGACCAAACAATGTGTAAATGCATACATATATTTTAATTTGTATTACATAGACGGGGTTACAGCTTAACATGGTTATTGAGCACTCAGCCACAGAGACTGAAGCGCTTTGGGACTGTTGCAGGAGAGATGATGACGCTGGATAACGTGCGGTGTGTCCACGGGCGGGAGGCCTACGACGCCCAAAGCGAGCGCCACATTGAGTCCTCTTACCTGGACTGGGACGAGGCTCGCTGCCGCCGGCGCCGCCTTCAGGAGGACTTGGGAGTCTTCCTGTAAAACAGCCACTTTAGTTTCCAGTCGACTTGAATGCATTACTTATGATACAATGTGAATACAGTGTGTATGATGCAGTGTCAATACAGTGTGTGTGATACAATATCAATACAGTGTGCATGGTACAATATCAATGCAGTGTGTGTGATACAATGTCAATACACTGTGTTTGATGCACTGTCAATACAGTATGTATGATGCAGTGTCAATACAGTGTGTATGATGCAGTGTCAATACCGTGTGTATGGTACAATGTTATTACAGTGTGTATGGTACAATGTCAATACAGTGCATAATGAACTGGAACAATAATTTTGCGACCATACTAGATTGAGTAAATAAAGTCTTCAGCTTGTCCTAACAGGCTTTCACTACTCGTCAACTTTGGTCATTATGGACAAATTTGTAGTTCAGTGGAAAAATGTGCAAAAGAATTTGTTACTTTAAATTTATACGTTAATTATCATATTTAAATATTTTACATGTGATGATAATTTTATGATAAAATAATATATAATATAATCTTAATAATATAAAGATAACGTATATTTTTAAATATGTTTACAATTTGTTATATGTAAGGTTCCGAAACTTAACAATTGCAATTTGTTGCGTATAATAATTTTTTTTATAAAATATGATTTTTTTAATAATTATATATTTTAAGGACGCAATGGCATTAATAAACTATTCAAGAAGTAACACAATAATATATATGATGGAAAGTTGAATGATCTGGATTATGGCAGACCTGTAATATTTTAGCTGGGCTCTTGTGCTATCCCGACTCCCACGCTCGTCACTGGGGATATCCCAGTATCCCAGTCCCACACGCTAATCCCTGGGGTGTTGTCACTCTAGTGTAGTCCATACCTGACTCCTTCCAGTCCACACCTGGCTACTTCTAGCACTGTGGTACTGTGACATAGTCACACCTGGCACCTTCCAGCACTGCAGTACTGTGACAAAGTACACACCTGGCTCCTTCCAGCACTGTTGTACTGTGACATAGTCCACACCTGGCTCTTTCCAGTACTGTGACATAGTACACACCTGGCTCCTTCCAGCACTGCAGTACTGTGACATAGTTCACACCTGGCACCTTCCTGCACTGTAGTACTGCGACATAGTCCACACCTGGCACCTTCCTGCACTGTAGTACTGTGACATAGTCCACACCTGGCACCTTCCTGCACTGTAGTACTGTGACATAGTCCACACCTGGCACCTTCCAGTACTGTGACATAGTCCACACCTGGCACCTTCCAGTACTGTGACATAGTCCACACCTGGCACCTTCCAGTACTGTGACATAGTCCACACCTGGCACCTTCCAGTACTGTGACATAGTCCACACCTGGCACCTTCCAGCACTGTTGTACTGTGACATAGTCCATACCTGGCTCCTTCCAGCACTGTAGTACTGTGACATAGTCCACACCTGGCACCTTCCAGCACTGTAGTACTTTTACCAATAAACTTACTGTTGGAAACGATTTAAAAAGATATATTTTACCTTCACTAGATCTTAAACACCTGCTTAAACTATCTGTAAGCAAATGTGCACCTCTTACCGCGCAGGTTTGCCCCTTAGGCAAGTTGTCAATCAACTGATGTACAGGTTCGTGGGACGATTGGGCTCTCTTTCCTGCCCGAAACGCTTTGCGTAATAGTGGCTTTAGGCATTGTATGTTCTAGCTCTATCTATAAATCCATCAACGTTTCGTATCTCACCTTGTATGTGTGTACTTTACCTGAATAAATATTTGATTTGATCATATCTATTTATTTATTTATTTATTTATATATATACAAGAAGGTACATTGGGGGTTAACAGAGAACATAGAAATTAGGTTGAATTTACATTCTTGTAAAGCCACTAGCACGCATAGCGTTTCGGGCTATGCGTGCTATCTTGCATATCGTGCTATTGTGCTATCGTGCTCTCCTCTTACTTATTTCCCTTACCTGAAGTTCCTGTATCCTTAAGCTAAGTACAGGGCATTAGTGAGTGTGCCTACTCTGGTAGTAACGATTGGTGAGACCTGGGGATAGTATTTTGCCAGTGTTTGGGTACCCCTAAGTGTTGTGTTTTGTATTAGGGTCCCACGTGGTTTCACTACCCTAAGCTGCATCCAGCTTCAGTGCTTATCCAGTAGTACTTTACCCTAGCTTGTTATTAGTGTAAACCTTGTATCCTGCCTATGTGGACCAAGGCTTTTAACGTAAGATAGTGTGGTAAAGTTATTATTATTATTGTTATTGGTGTGAGTGTATGGGGGTTTGTTAAGGGGTTAATAAATAAGTACATGAATTACAGAGTATCTCTTCTTCCAAGGTGGGAGCGCAGTGATCAACCCTTAGACTAACATATTTGGTCTTGTAGCAAGTTATTACTACTGTGGATAGTTTATTTTGGGGGCCGGGCCTTTTAGCTCTCCCATATTTGATACTCCTGTCTTCTAACTACCTATACCCCTTAATAGTACCAGTACCCCATAGAAGCCCCACTCATATCATTTACAACAAGTGGGGGCCTGTCCGGGAGGAACATTATAAGTGTAAAAAATTAGATTCTTGAGTGCCAAAATTAAAAATTTTTATTTCCGCAGAACGGTTGTGTGCTAGCCTAGGGTCCAGCTCATCTAGCAAAGGACATTTTTGCACTGACTTGACACCCAGCTGGATCCCTTCACGATTAAGGTTAGTGTGGCCTTGTGTTAGGGGCCGTGCAAATTTTTGTTTTTTTTCCAATTTTTATTTTTTAATTTTTTCTTTGGCTGGGAGCTAAAATTATTAGTGATGTCTTCTGAAATGCAGAACCTGGCAAGGGAGCCTTCAGTGGTAGAGATAAAGAAACTTAAAAAGTCTAATTTAGTATTGTTAGGCCAGGAATTTGGCCTAGAATTAAATGTCGCAGATAAAAAGTGGACTTTGGTGAATGAAATATTACAACATTGTATTGATGAACAACTATTGGCAAGTGATACACCTTTATGCCAGCCTAGCCAAGCAGAAAGTGCAACTCATAGGGAAAGTGAATTAGCTTTAGAGTTAGCAAAAATAAAATTAGAGGAGCAAAGACTCAAAACCGAGGAGGCTAAAATTAGAGCGAATGCCATTGGAACTCCACCTGCCGGGGATTCAAACCCCAGGCATTATGAGAAAAAGCATAATTTGCCTGAATTTTCCGAGTCTGACCCTGAAAGGTTTTTCAACCATTTTCAGAGAGTGGCCACGTCCATGAACTGGCCAAAGGAAGAGTGGGTGAAAATCCTACAGGGAAGACTTAGGGGTAAAGCACAAGATATTTTTATAAACATGCCTGACGACGAGTGTTTCGAATATGATAAAGTCAGGGAATGTATTTTGCGGGCATATGAAATTACTCCTGAAGCTCACCGCCAAGTTTATCGTAACCTTAGGCCTACTCACAACCAACCGCTCACTGAATTTGTGAATGATCAAATTCGATTATTTGATAGATGGATTCGCTCGGCGAAAGCCGAAACATACGAGGCTCTCAGGAACTTAATTTTAATGGAGCATTTTATAAATATGATGCCAGAGAATGTTTCACAGTATATTAGAGGAAGGATAGAGTTAAATTCTAAAATAGGGGATTTGGCCAAGTTGGCAGAAAACTACCAATTGGCGGGCAAAAGGCCCAATAAAAATAATTATACCCCACAGAGTAGCAAACCTTATACCCACAGCCAGTCCAGACCAGCTCATTCTAACCCTTTACCTAATGCACCTTCTGTTTCAGACATAACTAACCCTGTTAAAGTGTCTAGCCCAACGGCACCTAAAGGTGAACCGAAGGGTAATTCTGTTAGTAATGTCTCTTCTCCCCGACGTTTTTGTGGTCACTGTAATCGTCCAAACCACACTATTAGCCGTTGTTGGCAACTGCACCCTGAAAAAAGACCCAATGCTCTAGTTGTGACACAGGGCTTGAGGCTTTCAGAAGGGTTAGGGAGTAAGACCTCCAACCCACAGTGGTTGGACTTGCTTACCCCATTCTTATCGAAAGGGAGACTACTTTTGTCTGAGGGTTCTTCCTGGAAGGACGTGGTGATCTTCCGAGACACCGGTGCCATCCAGACTTTAATTTTAGAGAGTGCATTGCAAGGTGCCAACACTCTCGACACTGGAGAGGTGGTGCTGGTCGAGGGTGTCACTAGTGATACTCGGGCAGTACCCCTCCATAAGGTTACCCTGGAATCTGATTTCCACAAGGGTGTTTGTACAGTCGGAGTCACTTCATACCTACCTTTCCCTAATGTTGATGTAATAGTTGGTAATGATTTAGCAGGGGATAAGGTAGGGGACTCCAGACTGCCTATTATGTTGCCTACCCCTAAGGTTTGCCTGGAGCCACCCGCCGCAGAGGATAATGTTGTGTACCCTGCGTGCGCGGTGACCAGGTCTATGGGACTTAAATGTAAGGGCAGCCCTGTGCTTGCCAAGGTGGTAAATCCCGAGGTCACGAGGAGCTTTCCGAGTGGTGAAAACCAAGTGGACCTCGCGGACACATTCATGGCCCGACTCGATGACGTGGCCGAGGACATGGTGGAGAGCCTGCCACCGCCATCTACCGAGAGTAGTGGGGAGGTGGAGAACACTGTTGAGCCTCGGCCAATGGCATCTGACCAAGGCCTAGATGCCTCCTTGAGTGAGTTACAGAAAGCTGACCCCACTCTTGCAGATTGTCATGAAACAGCCGTCTCTATGGAGGAAATTGTAGAAGCAGCAACTGGGTACTACTACAATGATCGGATTTTGATGAGAAAATGGAGACCACAGAGTGCTCCCTTGTCAAATGAGTGGGAGGTAGTCCACCAGGTTATGTTGCCGACCTGCTATAGAGAAAGAGTTTTGGCAGCTGCTCATGATGATCCTATGGGGGGACATCAAGGTATTAATATTACGTATCACAAAATTTTAAAGTATTTTTTCTGGCCCAAGCTGAAAAGCGATGTGGCAAAATTTTGTAATGCGTGTATTGTTTGTCAACTGGTTGGGAAACCAAACCAGACTCCACCTAAAGCTCCTCTAAGGCCTATTGTCGTGCCAGAGGAACCATTTTCTCATGTGGTAATGGACTGTGTTGGACCATTACCTAGAACTAAGTCTGGTAATATTTACCTAATCACGATGATGTGTATCACTACTCGTTACCCAGAGGCTTTTGCTGTAAGGAGCATCCGAGCAAAAACTGTTGTTGCTCGTATGTTGCAATTTTTTTCCACTTTTGGACTGCCTCGGGTCGTGCAAACTGACAATGGTACTAATTTTAAGTCTGATGTTTTCGAGCAATTTTGTAAGGAACATGGAATAACTCATAAGGTTTCCAGCCCATACCATCCACAGAGTCAGGGGGTAATTGAACGTTTCCATCTAACTCTGAAGCAGATGTTGAAGACATCGTGCGAGAGTTCCCACACCTTCTGGGATGAGAATTTACCGTATGTTTTGTTTGCGGCTAGAGAGGGATTACAAAGTTCACTGGGCTGTTCTCCTTTTGAGTTAGTCTTTGGCCATAAAGTTCGTGGACCCTTGCAAATGTTACAGGAGAATCTGTTAGGGAACGTAACGTTATCCGAAGGTTCGGCTTTCTTTGCGCAACACCACCAGAGACTCAAGGACTGCAAGGCGGCTGCATTAAAGTATCTTGGCAAGGCCCAAGAAAAGATGAAAGAACGTAACCATGCTAAATCTAAGTTACGGGTATTTCAGCCTGGCGACCCTGTCCTGGTATTAAAGCCTCGACTAGGGAACACTATGTCCCACAAGTACGAAGGCCCCTACATTGTGACAGAAAAGACTGGGGACCTCACGTACAAAGTGAGGCACTCTGACAAACGTAACCAGGTAATGCTCATACATGTAAATCGACTGAAGAAGTTCCAGGGCCCCAGGCCCATTGCACTAACCAATGTTTCCATTTCCAGTGAGAGAGGGGATGATTGTTCTGGGGACCCAACTAATCTCATTTTCAATAATTCTAGTTCTGTGAATGCTGTGGAGGAACTGTCCCATTTGCAGATGGCCCAACGTGAAGAGGTGCAGTCGTTGGTTGATGAATTCTCCAGTCTGTTCGGGGAGGTCCCGACCCAGACTGATGCCATTTGCCATGATGTCGAGTTGACGGACTACACTCCCATTCGCCTTCAACCCTATCGGATGAGTCCAGAAAAGAAGGCCATCATACGGAAGGAGGTCGACTTCTTGCTCCAGCACGGCCTCATCCGGCCGAGCCAGGGCTCTTGGTGCTCGCCCTGCCTTTTGGTCCCCAAACCAGACGGCTCATGGCGATTATGCACCGACTATCGGCAGCTCAACAAGGTGACCATTGTGGATGCCTATCCGCTGCCCCTCCTCGAGGACTGCATTGACGAGTTGGGAAATGCCAAGTACGTTTCGAAATTCGACCTCTCGAGGGGGTATTATCAAATCCCACTCACTGAACGTGCTAAACAGCTCACCGCG